CTCTCTCTCTCTCTCTCTCTCTCTCTCTCTCTCTCTCTCCGACCACACACACGCACACACTCACCAAAAAGTCGGAAAAGAAATTGGCAAAGTCAAAATCAACGAAAACATACAATCTAGTCGGGATTACCTTATAAACTTTAAGCTTCGTGTCTAGTTTCAAATTAAGAATATAATATTATGTATTAATATATTGAGGTGGTTTTTTTTTGCTGTAGACGGCCGTGGTACTGTGCCAGAGGCTCCGCTATGTGACCTGAGGGTTTCGTGCTTTTTAGAGTTGATAATATTTCTTTAAAGGAAACATTCTCAGAATCTGGAAAGCTACTGTTTGTATATTTTTGTTTCAAAAAGACAAAAAGAGGAATTTCGTAGATTTTTGAAACAGTGTCAGGGAAAGTGGGGTGTGTGTATCTTTTCCTATGTTATTAGAGTTTTCTTTAAGAAATACTTTATCTCGGAGAAAAAAGCGTCCTGCTTCTGTCTTTCCTTCCTGTATGTCAAATAATCTCAAAAGTGTGTCGTGGCCCAGAAGAATCTGTTATTGTACCCGAATACCGACAGAATTATTCGTTCAGCATATGTTATTACAAGCGTGTCCAACATAGATCTAATCATTTCCTCTGACTTTCTCCAGAAGGTGGATTTGAGTATTCTAGATTGTGTCGGACATTATATCTGATCTATGCCAGTGGAAGCTGTTCGCGTTCTCCCATAAGTTTTTTACGTAGAAGTTAGTGTTACGAACATAATTTGCTGTGCCACCATGCCTTATCTTGACGAAGTGGAAAACACTTGTACCAACAGCGCCATCGGAGACCTCAAGATCCTTGAGATCAACCAAGACGGGAAGTTTGTCCGGCTGGTCAACGATGGACCCACGGTACGTGCCCGTCTTTATGTCGCTTTATTTGCTTATTTTATTAATTTTGGGAACAACAATTTTCATTTCTGTTTTCGTGTTTGTTTGTTTGTTTTTCATGTGTCTGTGTTGTATATTTTTGTTTGTTTGCCTTGTTTATTGTTTTGCATTTGAGAATAAAATGTTCTCTTTTGTTTTATTTTGTTGTTTCATGTATCTGAATTGCAGATTTTCGTTTGGTTTTCATATTTGTTTCAGTTTGAGAATAAAGTTGTTTACTTGTTTTTTTTTCAAAGTAAGCGCAGCAGGTTTTGATTTTCTGTTTTCATGCATATACCTGTATTTTCTTTTTTCTTGTTCTAATTTTATTTTAAATTTTAGGAGACCTGTTTAGCCCTTGTCTGTCTGTTTGTCTCTCTGTCTGTTTGTCTGTATGTCTGTCTGTCTGTCTGTCTATCTGTCTGTCTGTCTCCACCTCTTTCTCTCTCTCTCTCTCTCTC